GCTGAATGCCAAAGGGAGAAGCCTCTGCATGGCTGCACCATCCACCATGTAGGGAAGCGTGAGAGCCTCGAATGAGAGGTCCTGATCCCCAACTCTGGGGTCACCTCGCCTGGACTCCGAGGCTCACCCCACATGTCTCCCTTTGGCGAAGCTGAAAGCTAAAGGGAGAAGTATCTGCATGACTGCACCATCTACCACATAGGGAAGTGTGGGAGCTTTGAAGGAGAGATCATGATTTCCAATTTCGGGGTCACCTCGCCTGAACTCTGAGGCTCGCTCCACATGCCTCCCTTTAGCGAGGTTGAATGCCAAAGGAAGAAGCCTCTATATGGTTGTACCATCTACCATGTAGGGAAGTGTGAGAGCCTCGAAGGAGAGGTCCTAAGACCCAACTCTGGGGTCACCTCACCTGAACTCCGAAGCTCACTCTACATGCCTCCCTTTGGCGAGACTAAATGTCAAAGGGAGAAGCCTCTGCATGGCAGCACCACCCACCATGTAAGGAAACATGGGAGCCTTAGAGGAGAGGTCCTAATTCCCAACTCTGGGATCATCTTGTCTGATCTCTAAGGCTTACTCCACATGCCTCGACATGCACATCTCATCCACCATCACTTTACTTCCCTAATTCGAACTCAACATAAAGTTCTAGCCAAATAACCTACTCAATTTACATTGAATACTTCATTCAACTTGGACATCATGGTATATTTCAAGTAATGGAACCTGAATGCAACCCATTAGGTCATCATTTATATAGCTTGATTATTAACTAATCCATAAGCTTGATTATTATAAGTAATGAAAATTAAGATGTCAAATTCGGATTATTAACTAGACTTATGCTTAATTATTTACCGAGGTCCATGTACTCTCATTAACTTTCATTGACATTGAATATTGAAAAGACATAATATTGCAAAACATTGACTTTCATTGATATTGAATATGATATTACAAGAGGGGGACTCGAGGCCAATACATCAGTATGAATTGAAAGTAAACTATGCTACTTAGGCAGATGGTAGCGGTGCCTCGGTACCAGGTGCCTCCGCGGCTTAAGTTTCAGAAGTGTCTGCTTCCTTATCCTCGATCGCTTCATCATCGACTGCTTACTCAGCAAACGTCTTAGGAACTTCATCAACAAACTCCGAACTCAGTTGTGATAAGTCGACGTTAGTAGAAGCTCCTCAGCTCTGTCCAGCACCTCAACATAGGCAAAGTTCCTCCAATACAACCTAAAGCGTTGATACTCCCTGGTGAGGTGAAAGTTGGCAATGTAATCCTTAACTGCCTCCTCCCTCACCATCTGGGCCTCCTTCCTTGCCCTCTTCAACTCATCGACATGCTATTTTATTTGGCCTTCCAAAAAGTTGTACGCATTATTAGCCTCGGTCAGCTTTAAATTGGCCTGCTCTAGGGCCTCAACTGTCACCTTCTGGTGATTATTAGAAATCTCCACTTTTTTAGTAAGGGATGCCACCTTACATTGGGATTCGTATGCCTCTTTCTTCAAAGCCTCAATTTGGGCCAAGGCGGATCCCAACTTGGCCTCATCTTCAATCCTTTTGGGCCTTCATCTCCTCCGCCTCAGCCCTTATTTTCTTCAGTTCCTCCTCAGTGGAAGCCAACTTGTCCCTGGAGGACTTATTCCTTGTCTGAAAGTTGACGAGTGCCACGCATTTTATATAACGTGATTTTATACCGCAAGTGCACGGTGTCAAGTTTTGTAGTATATTAAAGAATTGAAAAGTGTCGAACCCACAGGAATTGATATTCGACTTCCACTGAGTACTATAATTGTGTCCGCATTTACTTTATCTAGACAATCGAGTGTTAAATTAATGTTTGAATACTAAACTAACGTCAATGAATTAAATAGTGCAATAAAAGTGAGGCAATTTCTAAAGCCTAAATCAAACTTACGTAATGTCTAGGGAATGATTTCACCGTATTCTCGACATAATTCTCAATCCCTATAGATCTTTCCATCAACTATTTCCCGAATTCATAGACAAGAATCCTAAATTAATTCTATTTCCCCCTCTCGAGCGTCAAATAGAACCTATCTCTATATTTTTACCCCAATATCTCTATTCCGAATTAAATATATAAAGATTATCATGCACTTGGTTCTTGTTTTACCCTCAAAGATTCGTACTTTCTCTCGAAACCTACAAACCTAGGTTATATTGTTCTTAGATCACGTCTAAATTTCCCTCTCTCGATCGTCAAATTTAGAACATCAATTCATTCAATTGGTGATCAGGCAACTGAAAGTATTAAGCAAGAACAATACAAATCAATTCTGAAAAATTAAATGAAAATACTATAAAGAAATTGAATCATGTCTCAAATAGGTTACATCAAACCCTAGATTTAATAACTTATTTCATGATTGAGAAGAAGAGCATGATAAAATACAAATTAAATCGCATGGAGAAGAGATAGATAAGAAAAAACTCAGGTTGCTGCTCTATTTCTCAATCTTGTGACTTGATTTCTCAGTTTCTCCCTTCTTCTTCTCCAAAATCGGGTCGACCTTCTCTTAATTGGTGCCTCTCCTTTTCTTGCATCTTCAGCCATCTCACCCTCTTCTCTTGTTCTTCATCTAGGTATTTATATTTTCTAAGAGTCCTCAAGGGTTAGGGTAAGATTTTTGGGCCGAAAAGATACTTAAAAACTCGGGTTTTAACGTTTTGGGAACAGGCGCCATGGCGCCCAGGTTTGGCGTCGTGGCGCCCAAGTTTCTGTTCTTTTTTTTCATTCATTGGGCGCCATGGCGCCCACGTTTCTACTTCAGTTTCATCTGGCGCCCCTTTTTCGGCGCCATGGCGCCAATGCCAATGCCACTGCTTTGCTTCTCTTCTCTTTGTTTTTCCAAGCCTATTTTCCACTCCAATCTTATTCAATACTTGCTTATTCATGCTCCATTTCATTGATCATCGTTTTTGCTCATCACCGGCTCCCAATAGTGGTATTTTCTCAAGAGTTGTCCAAACTGCAAAACAACACTAACACACACATCAAAATGTTCAAAAATGCTCAAGAACACATCAAAAAACGTGATTTAGAAGCTTTAGTTTAATGAGTGAATTACACTCATCAAACACCCCCAAACTTAGTTCTTTGTTTGTCCTCGAGTAAACACAAAACTAAAGATAATTATTAACGAGCACAAAAACACGACTAAGACAGACAAAGTCACTCAAAAGAAACTTTATGTTAGACACCTTGCATTTATTGCTCAAGATTAAAAGCACAGCGTCAAATTCATGAAGTACTTCAAAACTATAATGCAGGCGTCAAATCCTCGCTCATTCAATGCAAACGGGTGTGTGTGTGGAGAATTAAGCATAACGCTGTACAATAATAAACTGACCCAATTTTCGACCTTAAAAGTAAAATATTTCCTTACCTCGCTCGTAGGATTCACACACTCCCAAACTTGTTTTCTTTTCTCTTTCCAAGGTGTATTCTAAAGTTGATTTTTTTTTTCAATGCTAATTTCTTACATCGCTCAAGTTTGGTTAGATTTCACTATTGCAGTTCAACCTATCAACAGATGAGGAGTATCCTTATTTTTGACTGTTTCAACCTCTAGGAATCAACTAAGTTACTAACCTCTCATCAAAGGTATGAAAATCGACCTCTAACTTAAAGTTTTCACCCAGTTTTCATCCTATTAGTCTCAGACAATCCACACAAAATTTAGCACACATGGAATCCGCATTTATCTCCAAGTTTTCCTGCAACAGCTTAACCTACCAAATAGCCTATATTTAGTTTAAGGGTATAATAATGTTTAAAGGTTGTTTGGGTTTAGCATCTAAGTTCTCTTATTCAACCTATAAACATGGATCAACCTACTCATGTACAACGCTACAATCAACCCACGTGCAAAAATAATTCCCGTTTCACACGAATAAGCAAAAATCTAACTCAGACATATAACTTATCCATAATCCATGAACTAATACATGTTCTTAATATTATACATCATCGGCGGCAAGGCTACCTAACTCACACAAACATGCAAAACACGAAATGAAATTTTTTTTATTTGACAATGCACACAAATAAAAATTAAATAAATAAATAATAATAAAAAACAAACAAATAATTAAAAAAAAACACACAAATCAAAAAATTTGCACCCAAATCAGACAAAACCAAAATTTTTGGGAATTAGACAATTTATAATACACTCCCCCCAAACTTAAACTAAACATTGTCCCCAATGTTAAATTAAAAGAAAAAGAGGAGGACTTCCCTGAATTGTCTGAATTGCCAACGATGATTTGGTGCACTAATGTTGAATTTGATGGACGTTTCTTCTAACTTTTCCCCCAAACTTGAGATTTATCCAGCTTCTCCTTTTTCAATGTTGTTTGATTGATCTGCGATGTCATGTTCCTGAAAAATCACAATGTAGATATTAAACTCATGGAACAAGTGGTACTTAGCTCAAACATCGATAACCAACTTGATATTTCAAAAACCTAAGGGACGGGTAGGGCTGATGAATTCCTAAATAACAACTCTGAAATAAAATAAATTATCCTAAAATTCAAAAATAGAATAAATAAATAAAGATGAAAGCTTGGGTTGCCTCCCAAGAAGCGCTTCTTTATAGTCACTCGCTTGACTCAACCAAGGTGTCTACGGTGGATCTTCGAGTGGAGCATCTTTCTTGTTTCTGAATTTTACCCTCGGCTTTGCATTCTCCTTCATCGTAGCATAGCCAATAAAATCAGGCGGTTTGAACCTCGATGTAGCCTTCAAAACCTCTTTTGGTTTGACAATGTTTGGAGGTTTCAAAGGCCTAGCCACATAGCCTTCTTTTTTGTCATGTGGATCAGCTTCTTGGGTGAATATGAAATCCACTACTTCTTCAGCTCCCGAGTATTTCCCATCAGTAGATGCATCCCTTACTAAGTAATTGAGAGCCATATATTGTTCTAAAGGGTCATAGAACACTTCCTTTTTTACTCTGTGACCTAAAACTGCTTCAGCCGATTGGTCATATTGCAAATGCTGACTTTTTCTTGAGGCTTTTCTACTTGATGGATGTTGAAAGTCACATGCTCTTCATTAACCCGCAGTGTCAATTTTCCTTCCTGGACATCAATCAATGCTCTTTCAGTAGCTAGGAAAGGTCGACCAAGAATCAACGGTATTTTGTCGTTCTCCTCCATGTCCAACACCACAAAGTCCAAAGGAAGGATGAACTTATCGACCTTCACCAATACATCTTCAATCATGCCTTTGGGATATGTGATCGATCTGTTCGCCAGTTGCAAAGTGAGGGTTGTGGGCTTCACTTCTCCAAGACCCAGCTTTTTGAATACTGATAGGGGCATCAGGTTTATACTAGCTCCAAGGTCGCACAGTGCCCTATCAAATGTGATACCACCAATACTGCACGGGATGTTGAAGCTACCCGGATCTTTCAATTTGTGAGGGAGCTTCTGAAGTATGTGACTACACCCCTCTGTTAGCTTAATTGTCTCGAACTCCTTCAGCATCTTCTTATTTGACATCACTTCCTTCAAGAATTTGGCGTAATTAGGCATTTGGGCCAAAGCTTCTGCAAAGGGAATGTTGATGTGGATTTTCTTGAAGACATCCAGGAATTTTGCAAATTGGTCATCAAATTTCTTCTTCATGAACCTCTGCGGGAATGGTAGTGGGGGCTTCAAGATTGGTGGGTTGTCCAAAAATAAGATCAAGTAAGGCTTATAGATCTTGTACCCTCTGCCTCAGTTTTTTGCCTTTCACTCTGCCTTTCCTCTATAACTCTGACATCCGACGTAGACACCATAATCTTCTTAGGTTTGCTTTCTTCAACCATTTTACCACTCCCTAGGGTGATCGTATTGTAGTGTTCCCGTGGGTTAACCTCAGTGTCACCGGAAAATTTTCCTTTTTGCTGAGACTTCATTGATGTAGCCAATTGGCCAATTTGCACTTCAAGATTCTTCATTGTGGCTCCCATGTTGGACACATGTGTTTCAATATTATCCAACCGTAATTCAATTTTGTTTAAACATGATCTTGTCTCAGAAATGAACGTCCCAAGGATGTCTTCCAAGGGTGGTTTCCTATCAGAATTCTGAGTGTTGAATCCGGGTGGGGGTTGAAGTGTGTTTCTATTGTTGCCATATGACAAATTCTCATGATTCCTCAACCCTGGATGATAGTGATTAGCTTGGTAGCTTCCTCTTTGATTGTAGTTTCTACTGTCGACATATTGGGCCTGCTCGTTTGCAACCTCTGTCTCTTGGTGTGAAGAAGAAGTACTTATGACTGAATCTACCTTCTGTTGATTTCCTTGAGTGGTAAGCGTGACTATCTAATTTGTGAGTGATGCAACCTGAGCTGCTAGTGCAGTGATGGGATCCACTTCATGAAGTCCTGCTACTTTCTTTACACCTGATCTCTCACTTGGCCATTGGTAACTGTTAGTGGCTATGTCATCCAATAAAGTATATGCAGCCTCTACTATTTTAGCCATTAAAATGCCTCCCGCAGCTGCATCTACCATAGTCCTTGTCTGCCCATTTAGCCCATTATAAAATATCTCAATTTGCACCCATTTCTGGAACCCATGTTGAGGACATCTCCTAAGCAAATCTTCAAAACTTTCCCAGGCTTCATAGAATGGCTCAAAGTCGAGTTGTTTGAATTGGCTAATTTCACCCCGAAGTTGAGCTGACTTAGAAGGTGGAAAGTACTTGGTGAGGAATTTCTGAGCCAAATCATCCCAAGTTGTAATTGAGCCATACGGTAGTGATTAGAACCAAGCCTTTGCTTTATCCCTTAAAGAGAATGAGAATAGGCGGAGTCTAATTGCATCTTCAGTAACCCCATTCATCTTCACCGTGTCACAAATTTCCAAAAATGATCCAAGACGAGCATTTGGGTCTTCTACTGCAGCACCCCCAAAATGATTTTGTTGTACCATATGTATCAACCCTGGCTTCAATTCGAAATTGTTTGCAGCAATTGCTAGGCGTGCGATGCCGAAATAGTTGTCATTGACAACCGACCTTATGTAATCCCGAATAGCTCTTTGTTGGTTATCCTCATTGGCTGCTCTAGATCCTGTTCTGCCATTGCTTCCCGTTCATTTCTTTGTATGCCTTTGAGAATGCGAAATGTGCATTCTGGTTCAGGATCAACAGGTAGTAGATCTAGATTTCTCGCCCTTCGCATAAACAACTGAAAATAATCAAAAGGAAGCTTTTAAAGATAGACACTAAGGGAGTAAAATAAAAATAACGGTAAAAATAAAAATCTAGAGTAAAATGAACGCCGATTGGTAATAATATCAATTGAATTCGAATGAATCAATCCTTGGCAACGGCGCCAAAAACTTGCCACGCGTTTTATATAACGTGATTTTATACCGCAAGCGCACGGTGTCAAGTTTTGTAGTATATTAAAGAATTGAAAAGTGTCGAACCCACAGGGATTGATATTCGACTTTCACTGAGTACTATAATTGTGTCCGCATTTACTTTATCTAGACAATCGAGTGTTAAATTAATGTTTGAATACTAAACTAACGTCAATGAATTAAATAGTGCAATAAAAGTGAGGCAATTTCGAAAGACTAAATCAAACTTACGTAATGTCTAGGGAATGATTTCACCGTATTCTCGACATAATTCTCAATCCCTATAGATATTTCCATCAACTATTTCCCGAATTCATAGGCAAGAATCCTAAATTAATTCTATTTCCCCCTCTCGAGCGTCAAATAGAACCTATCTCTATATTTTTACCCCAATATCTCTATTCCGAATTAAATAAATAAAGATTATCACGCACTTGATTCTTATTTTACCCTCAAAGATTCGTACTTTCTCTCGAAATCTACAAACCTAGGTTATATTGTTCTTAGATCACATCTAAATTTCCCTCTCTCGAGCGTCAAATTTAGAACATCAATTCATTCAATTGGTGATCAGGCAACTGAAAGCATTAAGCAAGAACAATACAAATCAATTCTGAAAAATTAAATGAAAATACTATAAAGAAATTGAATCATGTCTCAAATAGGTTACATCAAACCCTAGATTTAATAACTTAGTTCATGATTGAGAAGAAGAGCATGATAAAATACAAATTAAATTGCATGGAGAAGAGAAAGATAAGAAAAAACTCAAGTTGCTGCTCTATTTCTCAATCTTGTGGCTTGATTTCTCAGTTTCTCCCTTCTTCTTCTCCAAAATCGGGTCGATCTTCTCTCAATTGGTGCCTCTCTTTTTCTTGCCTCTTCAGCCATCTCACCCCTTTCTCTTGTTCTTCATCTAGGTATTTATATTTTCTAAGGGTCCTCAAGGGTTAGGGTATGATTTTTGGGCCGAAAAGATACTTAAAAACTCGGGTTTTAACGTTTTGGGAATAGGCGCCATGGCCCCTAGGTTTGGCGCCTAGGTTTCTGCTCTTTTTTCATTCATTGGGCGCCGTGGCGCCCAAGTTTCTGTTCTTTTTTTTTTCATTCATTGGGCGCCATGGCGCCCAGGTTTCTGCTTCAGTTTCATCTCATGGCACCCCTTTTTCGGCGCAGTGGCGCCAATGCCACTGCTTTGCTTCTCTTCTCTTTGTTTTTCCAAGCCTATTTTCCACTCTAATCTTATTCAATACTTGCTTATTCATGCTCCATTTCATTGATCATCATTTTTGCTCATCGCCAGCTCCCAATAGTGGTATTTTCTCGAGAGTTGTCCAAACTGCAAAACAACACTAACACACACATCAAAACGTTCAAAAATGCTCAAGAACACATCAAAAAACGTGATTTAGAAGCTTTAATTTAATGAGTGAATTACACTCATCAACAAGTGTTTCCCTGCACTCAAGTGTGAGGCCCAAAGTCCTCACACTTTGATTCACCAAGGCCCTGGTGAGGTCCATCGCATCGTAGCTTGAGGCGTACATTTGCCACCTGTCAGTCCAAAACTTGTAAAAACTCTCTGTAGCACCTCGGACCTCAGCGAGCTGTGCATCCAACAAAGCCAGGGCAAGCACCTAATCACGCTCCGCAAGAAAATTGGGAAAATTCTCTTGAGTCCTGGCTAGCCTCTGCTTGGCCGTCTCCTCCTCTGCTGCCCTCCTGACAGCCTCTTCCCTGGCCTCCTCAGCCTCAGCTTTTCTCACCATTTCAACTTTCACTGCCTTCATGGCAGAGTCTAGCAGCTTCTGTTGAGGAGGGACATCCTTGCTTGAATGGGACACTGATGTCCCGAACTTCCCAGAAGAGCTGGTGAAGTGAACCAGCCTCCTCTTCTTGTGGGAGTCCTAGATGACCTTTTCTTTGCCCTGAGGCTCCTTCGCCTTCTCAGACTTATGGGGCCTCCTCTCCGGATCCCCTAGAGCTGCTATCCTTGGACAGTCTCTCCAACAGGCCCTGACCTCTTTCGTCACACTGGAGCTCAGCTTCAGAGGCCTCGCCCCCGCTGTGAAGGTTGCCCTCAGAATTGAGGCCATGTCTGGGATGGGGTACTTCCTTCTCTTGAATTTATCTACAGACATAATAGGTCAGCACTAAATATTAATCATGTACGAATTTGATCAAGTGGACGCGTTTCTTACCCTTGGAAGCCATCAGTTCAAAATCTACGAAGTATCGGCTTCGATCAATGAGGTGGTCAAAGTGGCGAAGCATCAAAGGCCGTTTATATATGTCCTCTATAACCTCAAACTCCTCCTTGCTGAGCTCAAACCTGGTACTTGAATCTGCAAAATAAGTGGCAACAGTTAGCAAAAAATTGAGAAACTTAGCAAAATGTGCAAGCCACATCTCAAGCTTGGACACTCACGAGCTTCGTAGTACTGGGTCAGTACTATGCAAGCCACGACCTTGTCCCCCTCAACTGCCTGCCACTTTTCCCGAACCCAGAATCACGACTCATTTCATCCCTTGATGGAAGAAGGCAACCCCACCACGAAGGGTGCATGAGCCCCCAGGGTGTGATATAATACCACGCCTTCGACTCGTCTTTACCTAAGATGCGAGGCTAAAAAAGGATTTGAAAGATGTGTAGAGGCATATCCTCTCCTAATAACACTTCTTTCCATAAGAAGTACAACCCCACTAGCTGGCTCCACCCATTCGACAGAACCTGGGTCGGTGAGAACATAAAATTCCTAAGCACGGCCCTAAAGAAGGGATGCAGAGGAAGATGCATACCTACCTTGAACAGGTATTCACTTATAGCCACACATTCGAGCCTCGAAAAATAAGCCCTTTCGTGGGCCTCGGGGACTAACATCTCCACGTAATGGGGGACGCAATATTTCTCCCTAATTCCCTCCAACTTCTTCAAGGTCATGTTTGACGCTATCCTAACAGCCCTCCATTCTTCCTCATAGTCTATAGGCTCATCGGCCATGGCATAATACTCCACCTCAGATTTCCCACTCAGAACAGCCCCCTCACCCAACCTAGCTATGGTAACCAATTCTCTAATCGAAGTGGACTCCATATCAAAAAGTTTGGAAAATCGACAAAGATCACAAAAGAAATGATTCTTGCAAAAAATACCTACGGGAATGACTAACAAACGATGAAATACGAAACGCCGAAGTTTGAAATCGGAGCAAGACTTTGGACTACGAAAACTTAAGGAAATGCAGAGAACACAAAAATCAAACGATGAAGAACGGTTCAAAATGGAAGACTTTGGCCTTTTATAGGAAGCCAAAATGAACTCCAGCCCTTGGATGAAGGCCCCATAAATATTAGCCCTCCAATTCTGGGTTAAATCCGAAGTGTAGAATTCAAATCGTTTTAAAATCTATGCCTCAGATTCAAACGTGCTTCTCACGCACCTCTCCAAACGCGTCTTCTTCTAGAAGGCCCAGTTGTAACCATCATTGCATATTCAATGCAGCAGCCGTACATGCCTTGGAAGTCGAAACAGCTCGGCTGCCTCTTCTTGGTAACATGCACAAAACATCAAATGAATGGAACAAACATCAAAGAATCTTCAATGCCTCAGAAGTTCAACCATATCTTCACAGCCTCGGTTGGTTCGATCCACTCACCTCCTCGGCTCTCTTCTGCTTCTTCACAGTTTAGCCATATCTTCACAGCCTCAGCTGGTTCGATCCACTCACCGCCTCAGCCTCTTCATCACGTTTTCCAACTACAGCGACACCACTACTTTGAACTCCAACCATGATATAAATATCTATACTTGGACTTGGGGGACTATTAGTTGAGGTACAAATTTTTTTTCAATTTTTACCCCCATACGCTTCACCATAATAAAAGTCCACGCATTACATAAATAACTATACTTGGACTTGGGGGACTATTGTTACGTGTTGACACACTTGGCCGACCTCCTGGGACCCATGACCCACTTATACCGAACCACGTGGCATCTTATTCAAGGCCCCAGGCCAACAGGAGCAGACCAGCATACTGTAACCACGCCCATGACGTGGCCCAAATGTTGACGTCGAAGTGAATATACAATGTGGTCTCCTAGCCAAAGCCCATCACTCCGAGGCCCCATCTTATTCGAAGCCCTGATTCTCTAAGCGGCACTCCTCCCCAGAAATCTGGTCTTATACAAGGATCCTTCCTGATGGATTGATGGGACACCCATCATAGAGTACAAGTGTATTGTCTTGTCAATGTAGTGGCTGAGCCGTCAAATAATAAATATGTAGCAGGTTAGGAAGTCAAATGTGATACCTATAATTTGACATGTAAACTTAGGAGATGAGGCCACGTGTACTCTCAACCAAGGGCCACGATCTAAGTTGTAATACTATAAATACTCCCCATGTATCTCTCACAAGGGTAATGCAAGATTCAACACAAGAACAAATACAACATTCTTTACATTTTACTCTCTTGCAACATACTTGAATTCATACTTGCATTCTACAAACATCGATTGTTAATTATTGTATAATCATTATGCAAATATCTCGTCGGATTCC